CCCCAGGAGGCCGGCCCGGGAGGAGCCGGCCGCGGCCGAGGAACAGAAGGAGCCGGGCAGGGATGGGGAGAGGAAAGAGCCGTCGGACAAGGATCAAAGCAAGCCCAAGAAGGAGGAACCGGAGGAGGAGGAGGCCGACATGAAAGCCGTCTCCACCTCGGAGCCGGGCAGGGATGGGGAGAGGAAAGAGCCGTCGGACAAGGATCAAAGCAAGCCCAAGAAGGAGGAACCGGAGGAGGAGGAGGCCGACATGAAAGCCGTCTCCACCTCGCCCGACGGCCGCTTCCTAAAGTTTGACATCGAGCTGGGCAGGGGGTCCTTCAAAACGGTCTACAAGGGGCTGGACACGGAGACCTGGGTGGAGGTCGCCTGGTGTGAACTTCAGGTAAGCCGGGCTGTTCGTGGCCACGGCCCTGCTCCGAGCCCCTGGCCAGGAGACAGACTGTGCCATCTACAGACCTCAGCAAATGCAGCCTTCAGAGTCCCCATTGCTGATTCTCCTGCGTCTAACTATAGCACGAGATTTTCATTGGTTCAGAATCGGCCACCTTATGTAGGCTGCTGTCTGCCTTAACCCCCTCGGCACTGGCCTTGGTTATGATATTTCTGGCAATGCAATGGGCTAAGGATGAGAGCCTGATGAAAAGGTCAGGAGTTCTTCACTTAACTGCCCAGAGATTGCTTGAAGAGCCTTCAGGGGGTAGTTATCAGTTACTCAAACTGACACTTGAGACATTTGTAACTTGATTTAGCAGGAGCCTAGCAGCCTGTAACTTAAACCCCCTACACATATACAAGATCTTAAAATACAATTGCAGAAAATGGATTTGCTTCCTTTACAAATGGGGGTTGGAGGTCAAGGGTCTCTTCTTCCCGGAACTCCCTATTTTGAAAGGGTTATTAAGCCGTCATAAACTCCTGAATGGAAATTTAGGGAGAACTTTCTAATCAAACGTGGCTTACATATTTTTGGCCATATCTGAGTTAGTCTTTCAACAAAGTAAAAAATATCTGACTTCAGAGGTCTTTTTGAGGAAATACAACTTAAGTTTTTTCCCTACTCTCTTATCTCTCTCTCTTTTTTTTAAATCTCTGTAGGGTGATGCAGTATATTAATACAACTCTAATTGAAGAAACTTCTGTTTCTGGGCATGGGTACTTCTCTTTTAATAATTCTTGTAATTCTTTATATTTTTCATACAAATTTGTATAACCCATACTGCACGTGATGCATTTAAATTGCAACATGATGTACCTTACGTTTTTGGTGTCCGTTTCTTGACTCCACCTAAGTTCTTAACATAAATTGACAAGAGACCTAAGCTGTTGTGACTTCTCCAATCCTTAGGTTTCTATCTTTTAGTAAGACCTTTTTTATTAGACTACCTCTTAGTTGTGGTGTACAGATTTTGCTGGAGCACTGACATCTTTACCTCAAAATGAGCCATGGCACTAATCTTAGATTTCTTGTGCTTGAGAAACTGCCACTGAATACAGGATTGACCCTCCTGCTGTAGTAGTGCTGAAGTACAGTTAGTAAAGGATGGAATGGAAGCCTTGAATCTGAAAATCTATGCAAAATGCTTTGTTTCCTGTGATAGGCAGATGAGTAGACGTACAGTATGTCTTGTTACTTTGGTTGATTCTAGTATATGGTATCTTGTAATCCATTGCAACCCCATATT